AATGTATTTATTTATGTATATATTGATAGGATAGAGTGTGGAAACGAAATCGATCTCAAAAGAGATATGACATTCGTTTTCACCATAAAAGTTCAGAAAGTTGAAAAGCTAAAAATAGGATATATGTAAGCAAAATGTGAAGCAAGTTCGAGCTTGTTTGTTTATACGCGTGAAGAATGTGAAGGTTGTGAAGATCCAAGTGTAATATGATCTTCAAAAGCCCATTGTCAGCATATAAAAGAGAGAATTCAGAAAGAAGAAGATTCAATGTCATACGTGCGATGTAGATCATTACCATATAAGGAAAGTGATTCTATTTATAGATCACCCCTTCCTCAATAATATGACATTTCTCCCACTAATTAGCATAATCGACTAGTATATAAACAAGAGCTTTTTCCATAAAGCTTGTCAAAAGTTCCGGTGCAATCTCTAACATCGTAGAGCGACCCTTCAGTTTACTTTCGCCCTAATTATTGTATTCTTTCCTGATAGCCAATAGGTGCAAGTTAATTTGACTTTTCACTTAGAACATAGTTCTTTCCTGATAGCCAATAGGTGCAAGAGAAGCAAATTAACACTTAGAATCAATAATTTAATAGAAATAACTGTCGTATTTATAACTATAAATACTAAAGAAATCCTGCATTATCTCTTTTTCTAAATTTGTCAATTTAGTATATGTTGCTTCTCTTACACCTGCTATAAAATTCATTCCTGTCAAAGGTGCGAGTGACGAGAAATAACAACAAAGAATATTGCAATTCTTTAAATAGTTATAAAACAATTTAAGTTGTTAAAGTTACACAAGTGCAACCAAAACGAACTATTTCAAATCAAATGAAAACCAATTTATAACGACTAAGCTATAATCATCGATTTATCCGACTTCATTGCTAAAAGTAAGTAAAAGAATTGTAAACTTGTATCATTATTGTATAATCATTACTATATAATTATTATTTAATCAATAAATGTTATAAAAGGGAATATTTGACTTGTTATTGTAACGCAAAACCCGTAGTTTTGACAAGTGAACACGATCCTACATAAAAATAAATATCAGGCTTTACCAACCTGATTAATCAGCCTTATTACATTCAAGTAAATAAAATTAATTTATTTAAAAACCACGCCTAGTTTGGAACGTAATAGCTGATTTGGTGGCAGCGGTGGGATTATCACTTTTGTTGCAAAAACAATTTTATGAAAATTCTCAAATAATTCGGCATATTTATTTAGAACAAATTTCAAAATTTTTTAAGGGTTCAAATTTATTCAAAATTAATTATATCACCCTTATAAACACATCACATTTCATTAAATGTTTATTCATATTGTTACATCCCGACATATATAATTTTTCATCTTAATTATAAATCTACTGTTACACGAATTTTCTAATAGCCCCTTTTCGTAGGCAATACCGATTGCATTTAAGATCCACGTATATTAAATAGTTAATTATTTGAATGAAAGGTGTATACATATATATGAGTATATTTGAATGTACACTTATAAAATATAACATTCATATACCTAATTATTTAAATATTTTAAATTATCAACTGGTTCTTTTAACGAAATGTTACCATCTCATTCATTATCTTGAGAGATGATAAATAATCGACATAACTATTATCATAGTGAAGTCGGTATGACAGATAATAAAGTAAAAGAATTCATAATGAAATAATGATGCATCTTAAAGAACACGTGTGTAATGCATATGTATGACCACATATACATATAGAACTAAAATATATGCATGTAATTATTCTTAAAAACAAACAGAAACACTGATTAAATGCATAAATTGCTTAAATAATTATGGATTAACAATCTAATATCAATGATCAATATCGATATCAAATAGACTGAATGTCGCTCAATTAATATGAAATAAAAGACACATACGATTCCTAGAAAATTCGTACGTGCTCTTAAACGTTTTAGCTAAAAACGTGCTCTTAAACGTTTTAGCAAAAATCGTGCTCTTTTTCTTAATCATCCCCAACAAAGTAATGAATTGACTAGTATATAAACCCATTGCAAATTAAGAGAAGATGTCAAAAGTTCCGGTGTAATCTCCGTGGTTAATATCATTGTTGAGCGACCCTTCAGTTTATTTCGTGAAAGTTAATCTATTCTTTCCTGTAACAAGGTGCAAGTTTTTGTGTTTCACTTAGAACGAATTCTTTCCTGAAAAGGTGCAAGAGAAGCAATATTAATATTTAGAACATAGTTCTTTCCTGAAAAGGTGCAAATTAAATTGTTTTTCATTTAGAATAGTTTCTTTCCTGAAAAGGTGCAAGAAACTACAATTTAACATTTAGAATAGATAAATTCATTGATTTAACTGTCGTAATCTTACAATAAAATAAAGCAGATTCTTGATTATAATTCAAAAATTGCTTCTCTTTCACATTCAGAATAGACTTCCTTCTTATGCAGGTGTAAGTGACGTAATACAACGAATTGTAACACGAAATAGTGTGCTTTATTATCAAAAACATTAAAGTTGTGTCACACAAGTGTGAACCGACAAGCTGTATCTTCATTCACTTAAAACAAATTCCGAGCTCTTGTATAACAACTCAGCGACTTCATTGAAATACGAATCTTCCTCGTAAAAGTGAGTAATCATATATGTAACCTATTTTATTAAATCATAATTATAATAAACTATTATAAAAGGGAATATTTGTCTTTTATTAACGCAAGACCCATAGTCTTTACGAAGTGACAACGATCCTACAAAATAAAAATATCAGGTTTTACCATCCTGATTAATCAGCACAACCCTCCCAAGTAAATAAATTAATTATTTGTTTAAAAACCAAGCCTTAGCTCGGGATGTAACAGCTGATTTGGTGGCAGCGGTGGGATGTCACTTTTGTTTAATAAACAATAATATTCTATAAAATTTTAAATTTAAACTAATAATCTCTAAACTTTCATTATTCCTACAATTCATTAGTAACGTTCGTTTAAATAATTATTTAAAGGTAAAATAAATAATAAAATTATTATTCACTATTTTATTTTTCTAACATGTTATAAATAATGAAAACTAAATTGAAATTACAAACAAAAGAAAAATTAAATATTATCAAACACACTCAGACAAAAAAGATATAAAAATATTAATAAAAATATCAATAACTAATAATTTTACTAATTAAATACCAGTCCATTGATTCATTAATACTATTACTATTAATTTTAATTAACAATTAAAGGAATAATAATAAAATAAAACAAAAATACGTGTCTATACGCACACATATGCATTTTATTCTATACTTACACATCAAATAAATTAATTAATCTTCTATTCATAATTATATAGTCATAATAATAATAATAATAACCTCATAATTAATGTTAACTAACAATACCTTACAACTAAATCAACAATACCTAAATAATAATCATTAATAATTTTAATTTCAAACAAACAAACCTAACTAACAATATACAAGGTGTTTTGACTTCAATATTATTATTATTGTTAATAATAATTGAGCGCAAAAGACCTCGTAGTGAGCTCTGGGTATTAGGCGAGCATGGGAGAACGGAGGTGATCTGCGAGGCGTGGTCAGGCCCACGCCTCCTCTCCAACAGCCACGCGCCTGGGCTACCGCCTTCTCTTTTATGGCCGCTATGCTCGCTCTCGCGAGTCGCCCGCATGACATATATATATGAGCGTACTACTTGACGGACATCTTGTCGCTACATATATATGTGCCTCCTCTGCGTGCATACTTCTCGGATAAAATCTACCTAACAATATGTCTTAGATTTGTTAATTTAAATCAATAAATTGATCAATCTAACTGATAAAGTTTTATCCAAAAATCTTGTGACGTTAATATAGGTGTTTTAAATTAATACACCAATAATTAATAATCATTTTAAAGTATATATTAAAAATAAATCCTGAATTATAAGTATTATAATTATTAAATGAAGTTAAGACAAAAGAATTCATAAAAACAAAAAGTAAAAATATTATGTAAGGATTTTTATATAATTCATATATTCTGAATTAAGAAATATACATTACAAATATACTTACCTTAAAATTCCCTACTTTTTATTAAAAATGAAATAAAAGACTCTATCATTTTTATGCATATTTTAAAAACATAGCTAAAATTTAACAAATAACAAAAATTAATTATAATAATTTCAATCATTAGTAAAATAAATATTAATTTAATTATGAACGCTTATTGAATGTGTATTTATTGATTACACATACAAACGTTTAAAGATTAAAAGGATTAAAATAATGTCAATGATGAATTGCTCATGTCAGCATGACTTTTCATTGAAATTAAAAACTCAAGAGAATATAAATCTTTTAAAAATATATAAGTATAAACTAACGTATATATGCATTAAGTCATCAAATTATGTCCATATTTCTGTCGACGACACTAGCTGACTCCACTACTGAAATAAAAAAAAAGGGGAGGGGGAAGAAAAACTCTCTGTACATCACAAACATGTCAAACAAAGCAAAATCAAGTTAAAAAAAAAAGGTTTTAAAGGAAATAATATAAGTCACAATTAAAAATAAAACATAATGTTGTATTATTACAATTAAATGATTAAAAATACATAGAATATTATATATTATATTATGTATTATGAGAGTGTTTATTAAAGTAAATATATACTAAATTAATATAATCAATAGTGTTTCAGTAAAATCAGTTACAAAAAAAAAAAAAAAAAAAAAAAAAAAAAAAAAAAAAAAAAATATATATATATAAATGTACAATAAAGAAATTAATTAACTACGTCGATCTCTTCTTCATCACTATCTATCGACAAGTCTATTATCGTCCCTGAAGAATGTTCTCTATAACAAAAAGAATTTTGTAAATTATTATTTGAAGCAAAAATATGTAATATTGGAGGCGTTGTAGAATTATCAAATATTTCCATATATGTGTGTCATATAATAAAAATACCTTAAATTTGATGACGAGCCAGGAAGCGACCTGTAATGTTGAAATTCCTGCGGACCATCCATACAGGACTTAGCCAAGGTGTTTAACCATTTTTCCACCCTACGTTTGCGAGATTTAATCGGCCTCGTGACACTAGATGGAGTCTTGTGTACCGTCCAAGAATTCGGCATTTTTGAAATCCGTAAAAGATTGGAACCTGAGGGACGTTCCACCGAATAATTTGGAGAAAATCCAGTTACACCCTTAAATTCTCTTAATCGGTCCGAGAGCTGTCCCAACTCAAAAATATAGCGGCAAATTTGTTCCAATTTTTTAAATCGACATCTGGAATTCTGGTACACGGATCACCGACTAAACAAACAAAACACAAACAAAAATTTTATATATAGATATTTTATAAATGGACCAGAACGAAATAATAAAAGAGACTATGAAAGGAAATATAAGAGAAACCTTAAACTATAAAATATCCACATTGTATCCCCTTAACATAAACATGTGTCTGAAGGTAAAAATTAATTCCTTCATCATCAACGAAGGCACTCGAACCAACACACCACTTCGCTTGACGTCTAATTTTCTAATAACAGTAAAATCTTGTGCACTGCACTCTATGCCAATGATCGAAGTACACAAATTACTAATAATAGTGGCAGCATTCTCAAATGGAATTTTCCAGATTGCGAATTGAAAGATCCCCAGTCTCTCTTCCAAATCCGCAACGCGAAGGGCCAAAAGTCGATGTTGTGAAACACTCGCTACTATTGGACTTGGTTCAAAAAGGGAAAACAATGAAAAAGATTGATTGGCAGGCACTTCACTACCTTGGTCACTGTAATTGTCAGAAGTCAACACTAAATCCGTATTATCTAAGACCGCACTATTGTCACTTATATCAAAATGTTCCAAGTCAAAAAGGTCAACATAATCCTCAAAAACAGTTTCACTATCATTATCACTCATTATCCCAAAATAATATAAAAGAAAATATGATGGGGAATATCAATGTGGTCACTAGAAGAGTTCACTACGTACTGAGCACTTACCAGAAGAATCATCACTAATGGTGATGATGGATCCCGGGGCATCATCATAAAGAACAGTGGTAGCATCACTTATTGAACTGGTATCACTCATGGTTACAAAGGAACTAACTACAAAAAGCTCCTAAGCACGATATATGGATCTTGAGATCACCATGCAAAAATTTGATGATAACAGCATTTTGGGTACACAAAGAAGACATCTAACCAGCTGGATAAATCATGACATTAGTACAATAACAACTTACCTCATTGGTGCACATCCTTCTTCAACATCACACATATATTGGCAAAGAACATCTGCACTCTACAAACACTCCTGTCAGCAAATTTCTGTTTTAAACCTTGAAAATCATATTACATTTTCAAAGCAATGTAATATTAGAAAATTCGCATAACAAAAATTTTAATTCAAAGTCCATCGCGGACGATGCACAATCTAAGGGGGGAGGACTGTTACATCCCGACATATATAATTTTTCATCTTAATTATAAATCTACTGTTACACGAATTTTCTAATAGCCCCTTTTCGTAGGCAATACCGATTGCATTTAAGATCCACGTATATTAAATAGTTAATTATTTGAATGAAAGGTGTATACATATATATGAGTATATTTGAATGTACACTTATAAAATATAACATTCATATACCTAATTATTTAAATATTTTAAATTATCAACTGGTTCTTTTAACGAAATGTTACCATCTCATTCATTATCTTGAGAGATGATAAATAATCGACATAACTATTATCATAGTAAAGTCGGTATGACAGATAATAAAGTAAAAGAATTCATAATGAAATAATGATGCATCTTAAAGAACACGTGTGCAATGCATATGTATGACCACATATACATATAGAACTAAAATATATGCATGTAATTATTCTTAAAAACAAACAGAAACACTGATTAAATGCATAAATTGCTTAAATAATTATGGATTAACAATCTAATATCAATGATCAATATCGATATCAAATAGACTGAATGTCGCTCAATTAATATGAAATAAAAGACACATACGATTCCTAGAAAATTCGTACGTGCTCTTAAACGTTTTAGCTAAAAACGTGCTCTTAAACGTTTTAGCAAAAATCGTGCTCTTTTTCTTAATCATCCCCAACAAAGTAATGAATTGACTAGTATATAAACCCATTGCAAATTAAGAGAAGATGTCAAAAGTTCCGGTGTAATCTCCGTGGTTAATATCATTGTTGAGCGACCCTTCAGTTTATTTCGTGAAAGTTAATCTATTCTTTCCTGTAACAAGGTGCAAGTTTTTGTGTTTCACTTAGAACGAATTCTTTCCTGAAAAGGTGCAAGAGAAGCAATATTAATATTTAGAACATAGTTCTTTCCTGAAAAGGTGCAAATTAAATTGTTTTTCATTTAGAATAGTTTCTTTCCTGAAAAGGTGCAAGAAACTACAATTTAACATTTAGAATAGATAAATTCATTGATTTAACTGTCGTAATCTTACAATAAAATAAAGCAGATTCTTGATTATAATTCAAAAATTGCTTCTCTTTCACATTCAGAATAGACTTCCTTCTTATGCAGGTGTAAGTGACGTAATACAACGAATTGTAACACGAAATAGTGTGCTTTATTATCAAAAACATTAAAGTTGTGTCACACAAGTGTGAACCGACAAGCTGTATCTTCATTCACTTAAAACAAATTCCGAGCTCTTGTATAACAACTCAGCGACTTCATTGAAATACGAATCTTCCTCGTAAAAGTGAGTAATCATATATGTAACCTATTTTATTAAATCATAATTATAATAAACTATTATAAAAGGGAATATTTGTCTTTTATTAACGCAAGACCCATAGTCTTTACGAAGTGACAACGATCCTACAAAATAAAAATATCAGGTTTTACCATCCTGATTAATCAGCACAACCCTCCCAAGTAAATAAATTAATTATTTGTTTAAAAACCAAGCCTTAGCTCGGGATGTAACACATATATTTCATTATAAACATTTGTAAACGGTCATTTTAAATTCTCTAGCAGTTTTGTTCTTACGCCGTCCGGCGAATTACAGAATTTGTTATATTTTCATTTTACGCCGTCCGGCGAACTTGAGAATTAGGGTGTTTAAAACCGACTGTTTAATAAATTCATAAAATCATTCAAAATCTTATTGAGTAAGCTATTTTTACGCCGTCCGGCGAACTATAGCTTTGAAAATTGGAGATCTACGCCGTCCGGCGAGGTTTTCATATCAATAAATTTTGATAATATCATTGTTTGGAATTTTGAGGTCTTAGCAAGGTCAATTTTACGCCGTCCGGCGAATTTTGACTTTGTACTCGACGTTTTACGCCGTTCGGCGAATTCTGTCTAAGCCCTTGGTTTACACAAACAATTGAAAAGAAGTCTCAATTTTTGATTTATTTGTAATATCAATTTTCTAAAATAACAATGTTATTTTCAGTCAGATTAGATTATGCCAGATAAACCTAAAATTGATAGAAAACCCACAAATAGAGGAGGAACAAACGCAAAAAGGCGATTTGATAAAACCGATAATCTTAATATAACAATTCTTCAAAATCAACAAGATTTTTCTACATTCTTCGATTTACTATTACATCAAACAGAACAATTAATATCCGTAAACAAGAATTAAAATAAAAAGGTTATAATAAAATTATTAATGTATTTTGTTTATTTTATTACATTCCTTGTATATGTAATGTTTTTCGCCATAGTTTGGTGGACAGTTTATTATTAAAAAGTCGGTTAGTAACCACAAATGAATAATTACTTCTCAATTCTTGAATATAATCAACATAATTATCCTTACGTTGAATTAATCTCAGGTAATTTTAAATCACATAAAGGTAATTTTCTTATTGATTATACATTAACAATAAATTTGGTAAAAGAATCAGCAATATCATCGTTTGTATCTATAGATAAAAACGTCATAATAACAGCAAGACAAGGTGCAATTTGCACAAGTGGTAGTACATTAATAGAATTCAGCGATTTTTCTCTAAGATTTGAAGCTATCGATTATCAAAGTGAAACAGAAATTATTGGAATTCTTGGTGTGCCATTTCTCGATCAAATTTATGAAACAAATTATTTCAATAGAATAGCAGTTTTTTATGAAAGAGCAATTTGGAGACGTGAAATCTCTATCCAAGGCCGAATCAGACGCCGTATTATCACTTTTATCCGAAACTTCTCTTTCCGAAGAATTCCAATACTAAATAGAATTCTTAATGAATAGATACAACAACGAAATTTCATTTAATTTAGTCATTTACCCAAATATCCACATATCTTCCCAAAATTTAAAAGAAAATAGAGGACTCTTCATAGTTAATCCTTGTTTAGATATTAACCTGATTAACGAGAATAAATTGGCTCCAGAACAACAATTAATAGATCCGAATCTCTATTATTGACTCCAGGACCAATATTCACCTCAGGAACAGTATCAATAACACAGCCCCACAAAAAAAAAGTGTCATGTACTTTTGACCGGAATACCCTAACCCTATGTATTTTGACGCGCTGAACACGAATCCGAAGTCCGTTTTGCTCCATCACGTCAGGATTTTTTTCTAACCTCAAAAAACATGTCGGATTTTGAGAAGTAGGCGATTTTTTTAAAAATTGATGTATTAACTTCAAACTTGGTATCTGGGGGTTTTTTGTGTCGCTGATTACGAATCTGAAGTTAGATTTTCAAAATCCAAAATGGCGGATCCAATATGGCGGACGAATTTTGAAAGAATTTTAAGATTTACTTCAAACTTGGTATCTGGGGGTTTTTTGGGTCGCTGATTACGAATATGATGTCAGATTTGAAAAATTCAAAATGGCATATCCAACATGGACTTCTATCGGACATATTAGATACGCCATTATCTGTATCTGGGGGTTTTTTGGGTCGCTGATTACGAATATGATGTCAGTTTTCAAAAATTCAAAATGGCATATCCAACATGGACTTCTATCGGCCATACTAGATACGCCATTATCAATTTTTGAAAACTGACATATTCGTAATCAGCGACTCAAAAAACCCCCAGATACACTATTGCACATTAATTTTTAAAAAATTTTGTAAAATAATGTCCCCCTACCAAAAAAAAATTCAATTCGTATGCCATATTGGATCCGCCATTTTGGATTTTGAAAATCTAACTTCAAATTCGTAATCAGCGACACAAAAAACCCACAGATACCAAGTTTGAAGTTAATACATCAATTTTTAAAAAAATCGCCTACTTCACAAAATCCGACATGTTTTTTGAGGTTAGAAAAAAATCCTGACGTGATGGAGCAAAACGGACTTCGGATTCGTGTTCAGCGCGTCAAAATACATAGGGTTAGGGTATTCCGGTCAAAAGTACATGAGACTTTTTTTTTGTGGGGCTGTGTAATAATTGCGCATAAACCTATCAAGTTTCACACCTACGTTAATAATCAACAACCCGAATTGACAGGTGTTCTTGGATTATCTTTTCTTAACACAGATCGTAGTGAATTTCGGTTATAACTTTACATAAAACTATATATAATATACAATATTAACCAATATAATTTTCGACATTGATAATAACAAAAATTCAGATTTCATTGTCACGTCCCGAGCAATGGTAGACTTTATTTATTGTTAAATAAATAATTGAGAAGCAAGTTTAGCTGATTAACAGATTGGTAAGATCTGCATTTATTTTTAATGTAGGATCGCGTCACTTTGAAAGAACTAAGGGTTCTCGTTAAATAAATTATATGCACATTCCCTTTTTAAAACGATTTATTGTTTAAATATTTCATAGAATAACAATTAGATATACTTACAGTTATTATCTTAGATTCAACTGACAATTAATAAGCTGCAACCGGCTGAACACGGCTGCCACACAGATTGCAATTATAAGATTTCAGTTCGTTAATATTCACTCATATACACGACTTTTACACTTTATTACAATTATTAATG